ATACAGTAAATTAGTCTTATACTTACTCGCTAATAATGTAATTTACATATAAATAATTAGAGACGCTTTATTTAATAATCCATAGAATAGTCTTATACTCACCGGCTAGTAATTTAATTTACATATAAACAATTTAAATGGTTTATTTAAAAGTATATAGATTATTATAAAGTTTTTAGTTTATAAAATAGTCTTATACTCACGATCTAGTAATATAAATAATTAGAGATGTTGATTTAAAAGTTTCTAATTTATTAATGGCTATTTAATAAATTAAAATGATTGATAATTCAATACCTCTTTTTTTACCCGCTTCTTTAGAACGGGTCAAATTAAAAATATAATTTTAAACAATTAGAGATATTTCATTTAATAGTAGATTATTATAAAGTTTAATCCATAGAATAGTCTTATACTTACCGGCTAGTAATTTAATTTACATATAAACAATTTGAGATGTTTTATTTAAAAGAATATAGATTATTATAAAACTTTGGTTTATAAAATAGTCTATACTCACGATCTAGTAATATAAATAATTAGAGATGTTGATTAAAAATTTTCTAATTTATTAATGGTTATTTAATAAATTAAAATTATTGATTATTCAATACCTCTTTTTTTAGCCACTTCATTAGAACGGGTCAAATTAAAAATATAATTTTATTTAGTGTTGCGTTTTCAAGAAAAATATAATTTTTAATAATAATGATTTTTATTATTTGATACCTCGTTCAACACCATCTGCCCAAGAAGGGGTAATACTTGTCAATTGGACAATTAGAATCAAAATTGCTAAGGCTTTTACAAGTTGCATTTTTTCTTTTTTAAAAATACGATAATAAACTGTTGACTGACAAGTAAAGAAGCATGCATTTATATAATAATGCACCTTCAAAGCCATTATAAATTTTCTTCACCCAAATACAAACAATAAACTTTTTTGAAGCATTACTCAGCATAATCAGTAAACTTTTAAAGCCATTCACAGCATAATTAGTAAACTTTAAGCCATTGACTAGGAATGTTAAATTGCGAATTCGGTCCGATTCGGTCTTAGGACCTGAAATGACGGTCCCAGACTTGATACGTAC